GGGACACCCAGTGTGGAGTGCTGGGTCCCACTTGGAGGTGGAGGGTTCAGCACCAAAAGAGGCATCCCCGCCAGTCTGGGGGTTGGAATGCAGAGCCAGTCCGTGATGCACGAGCCCACACTGGAGTCTAAGCCAGGGAGGCGGCCGGGGCTGCGAGGTGTCCAGCCCCGCAGAACGTGGGATCAATCAGGCCCCACGTCCCGGGACTTCCCAACCCGCAGCCCCACCGACCCAGACGACGCGCCGCCCGGTGACCTCGGCGCCTGGCGGGTGCTGCTGCCCTCGCGCCCGCGCGCGGAGCGGGTGGCGCGCCTCGTGCCGCACGAGAACGCCTCGTGGGACGACGCCTCGGACCTGGCCCTACTGCAGCTGCGCGCGCCCGTCAACCTGAGCGCGGCCCCGCGGCCCGTGTGCCTCCCGCACCCGGAGCATTACTTCCTGCCAGGGAGCCGCTGCCGCCTGGCTCGCTGGGGCCGCGGGGGTAAGCGGAGACCCGAGGCTGGGTGGAGCGGCGCGGAGCCTAGGCCAACTCGGCCGCAGCGCGGGGTCCCCTGCCTTTCCCCCCAACACACCCAGAACGCGCACCTGGCCCCGGGGCGCTGCTGGAAGCCGAGCTGTTGAGCGGCTGGTGGTGTCACTGCCTGTACGGCCACCAGGGGGCGGAAGTGCCGCTGCCCGGAGACCCGCCGCTCGCGCTCTGCCCCGCCTACCAGGAGGAGGAGGAGGCGGGCCGCTGCTGGGTGAGCGGCAAGGGCGGGGCCCGAGGAGGGCGCGGAGTCGGGGATAGGCTGAGGGAGCTGGGGGCGGGGCCTGAACCGCAGGAACGAGGCGGAGCGCACGGAACGGGGACAACGAATGGAGGCGGGGCCAAAAGGGGCGGGGGCGGAGCCTGGCCCCCAGGCTGTTGCGAGGGGGCTGGGGCGGGCTCTGAGCAGGAGTCGGGGTTTCTCGCTATCCCCAGGTTTAAGGCGCATCCTCAAAGCGAGGGCTGAATTCTTAACGGAGATTAGTAGTGGGGCCTGGCCTGGAGGAGGCGGGACGTGTTGTGGAGAATGTGGAGTCCAGGGACGCCGCAGAGACCCTGATGCTCTCTCGCTGCAGAATGACACGAGGTGGAGCCTGCTGTGCCTGGAGGAGGGTACCTGGTTCCTGGCTGGCGTCGCACACCTTTCCAGTGGCTGTCTGCGGCCCCGAGCCTTCTCCCCGCTGCACGCCCATGGCCCATGGATCAGCCATGTGGCCCGGGGGGCCTACCTGGAGGACCAGCTAGCCTGGGACTGGGGTCCTGAGGGCGAGGAGACTGAGACCCACACCTGTCCCATGCACACAGAGCATGGCGGTGAGCAGGAGGCCTTGGTTTAGCTGGGCGGGGAGGAGAGGGGTGCTTAGCCCAGAGGCTTCAGGGATCAGCTGTGGGCCCCCCACCTCTCCCTAGCTTGTGGCCTGCGGCCAGAGGCAGCTCCCGTGGAGGTGCTGTGGCCCTGGCTGGCAGAGGTGCATGTGGCTGGTGATCGAGTCTGCGCTGGGATCCTGGTGGCCCCCGGCTGGGTGCTGGCAGCCACCCACTGTGTCCTCAGGTGGGTCTCCCTCCCGCCCTAGGCTAGAGGCAGGTGGGCTCAGATGGCCCTGGGTGCTACCCCTTGGGGGCTCTCGGAGCACTGTGAGGGGGTCTTGAGGCAGAAGGGAGATGTGACAGGAGGAGATGGAACCTCTCCAGCCTAGACTCATCCCCACCGCTTTGGCAGGCTGGGAAGGGCGTTGCTAGCAATGAGCAGTGGAGTGACCCTGGGTCTTGTTCCAACAGGCCAGGCTCTACAACAGTGCCTCACATTGACGTGTATCTGGGCCGGGCAGGGGCCAGCCCCCTCCCACAGGGCCACCAGGTATCACGATTGGTCATCAGCATCCGCCTGCCCCGGCACCTGGGCCTTAGGCCTCCCCTGGCTCTCCTGGAGCTGAGCTCCCGGGTGGAGCCCTCCCCATCAGCCCTGCCCATCTGCCTTCATCCAGGGGGTATCCCCCTGGGGGCCAGCTGCTGGGTGCTGGGCTGGACGGACCCTCAGGACCGAGGTGAGAGCCCTGGGTGATGGCAAAGACAAGTGGCCAGAGGCCAGCACCCGGGCACAACTTCTTTCTTTCCCACAGTCCCTGTAGCGGCTCCGGTCTCCATCTTGACACCACGACTCTGTCACTGCCTCTATGAGAGCATTCTGCCCTCTGGGACACTCTGTGTCCTGTACACAGAGGGGCAGGAGGGCAAGTGTGAGGTAGGGGTTCTGGCATCCTGGTGGGGGGGTGGTCGGGAGTGGGGAGAGGCAGTACTTCCAGGGTGGGGACCCCAGAAGAGGTTCAAGGCCTCAGGAAGAAAGGTAGCAGACCCACTGGGCCCTGGCTACGGCTCTGCAGGTGACCTCAGCACCTCCCCTCCTGTGCCGGACCGGAGGAGGCTCCTGGGTCCTCGTGGGCATGGCGGTCCGAGGGAGCCGGGAGCTGTTTGCTGCTGTTGGCCCTGAAGAAGCCTGGATCTCCCAAACTGTGGGAGAGGCCCACTTCCTGCCGCCCAGTGGCTCCCCCTACTGGCCGCCTGAAGGCAGCGACCTCTGCCCCCCAGACTTGGCAGGGGCTTCAGGCTCGCCTCGGGCTGCTCTGTTCCTCCTGCTACTGACTCCTCTAATCCAGGGCTGAGAGGGTCTGGCTCCCGGGATGGGGACGGGGGAGGTACTTCCCCTTTGCCTCCCAGCCCTCCACTTCCCGCCCAGTGGGGCTGGAATGTGACCCAACCGGTTCACTCCCGTGGGGGAACCTGGAAAAGGCCCCACCCCCCCAGAGTTTGCAGCGGCTCCGGATAAGTGGGCCTCTGTGCCAGCTATTTTGGGCCCAGGAATCCTCAGGGGTGGCAGGAGGAGGGGACAATAAAGATCTAAACACAGACACGTGTGGCCTTGTGGCATCCTTGAGGGCGGGCTGAGAACACTGGGCTCCGGGGAAGCCCAAGGGATCCGCCCCTCCCTCCCGGGGCCCCTGTGAGTCAAACTTTGGGCTCCTAGGAAATGTGTCCCTGATAACGTGGCACCTGTTCCCTCATTCCTGCCCCCGGGCGGGGGAAGCTGGGTGGCCACCTGCTTGTGTGTCACCTCCTCCATGGAATTAGTGTCCCCAGCACCTGCTGGGCACCTGAGCCTTAGTTGGTGCCCCGGTCCTGCTGCTGGCCCCTCCCCCCAGAGCAAGAAGGACTGGGGACAAGAGTCAAAGCTGTCCCCCCAATATATGCCCTATGCATACACTCCTGTTTTTACAGGCTGCCCAGTGTCCCCAAGATCTGGGTCCCTTGTATGTAAATCCCGCTAGCCTGCCACTTGGCTCGGCACCTCTGCCTTCATCCAAGTGACAGTCACAGCACAACTGGGGTCTGAGGAGCCCCACAAAGCGCTCCCAGTCTCATGGGGAACACACAGGGACACCTTTGGCAGGGGAGCCCACAAAGGGCCAGGAAGCAAAGTTTGAGCATAGGAAGGGGCGTAGGGGCCTGGGGGCTGGGGCAGCTGGGATGGAAACCATCTGATGAGGGTGGTCAAGGGGTCACGTCTGGGGCTGGAGGCAGAGAGAGGGGAAAGAGGACCCAGAGGGAAGCTGGACCTTTTCCCTGGGAGGTGGAGGCGAAAGGCAGAGATCTTAAAGGGCCAGGCTTCTCCTTGGCTGCTAGACGCCAAAGAGACAATTTCCCAGAATCTCCACAGGGAGGTGCATGCCCACTGCCAGTCCTTGCCCACCCCCGCCGTGTGCCCGTAGCTAGTCGGTCAGCCACGTGCACCCTACCACCACCACTTAACACACCCTGTCCTTTTTCCCTAAAACCACCCAGCCTGAAGCCTTCTCCAGACAGATCCTCCCCCTGACCCACTCCAGGAATTCCCTGCCCCCCCCCCCCCCCCCAGCTTGGACCCTGAACTGGCTGGGTCCGGCCACCTACTCTGGGAAGTGAGTGTTTTTCTTGGAGCTTGAGCCCAGTGTTTTGTTCCAAACTGCCACGGAGTCACAGAAGATGCACTTGACGGGCCAGCCCAGCCGTAGAGGCCTCTGATGCCTGAACCACTGCACCTGTACCCTCCACTCTAGAACACCCCCCCCCCTACACACACACACACACACACACACACTGGGCCACTGTTCCCTAGCCCCCTACACACACACACACATACCAGGCCACTGTTCCGCGGCCCCCTACACACACACACTGGGCCACTGTTCCCCGGCCCCCTACACACACACCTTGCCACTGTTCCCCAGCCCCCTACAGAGACACCTTGCCACTGTTCCCCAGCCCCCTACACACACACCTTGCCACTGTTCCCCAGCCCCCTACAGACACACCTTATTAACACCTTTCATCGCCCCCTCCCCCTTTGTCCAGGACCCCTCAAGTTGCTATGCAGTATCACCAGTCCCACTTTGAAATTATTTTTATCATTGCTGGTGATTATTTGATTCCAGTCTGCCACCCCTGGTGAGCTCAGGGAGGCCAGAAGTGGCATCTGCTTTGTCCTCTGAGCCCAGGACAATTGTAGACCATGTGGGATTAATATTTGTGGGATGATTGGCAGTTGTTGGATGTGCTCACTGGCTGCAGGTGAGGCTCAGGTGGGTGGCCTGGGCTTAAGCGCCTGTTCTTAGGAGTGGGGAGGAGCTGCTGTGGTCCCAAAAATAACAAAGGCTGGGCCGGGTGCTGGGGGGCATAACAGGTCTGAGAGACCAGGAAGACCTGGGCCTTTGACAGAGACAACAGGCGGGCTAGCCCTGTCTCTAGCCCGGCCTCGGGCTGGCTCTGTGATTTCTCAGCCCCTATCCCAACTGCTCAATACACCGCCTGGGGGGTGGGGGGTGGTCTGAGACAGCTCGGGACTTTGGAAGCCCAAAGAGCCCGTGGCGCTCAGCGGAGTGGAGCAGGCGGGGCCAGGGGAGGAGCCAGCAGGTAAGTGCCTTCCCCTAGGAGTCGGGGGCGGGGAGGTCTCCGCCTGCGTGGCTGGGCCGAGCCTGAGTCGCGTCCCCACTGCTGGCCAGTGTCCTCTCGTGGCCGCTCCCTGCCTCAGAAGCCAGCCTTGGACACCTGCTCCTCCTTCTCAGCTCGGATTCTGGAACCTCTTCCCTCTGAAGCCAACATCTGGATCCTGCTTTCGAAACCAGCCCCGGGTTCCTTCCCTTGTGTGCCTGGTGTCCCTCGACCCCCACCCCGACCAGGGGCCCTTGTCCTGGGCCATGGCCCGGAGGGCGGGCCCTGGGCCTGGGAAGCTGGAAGCCCTGGTCATTCTGCTCTTTCTTGGATTATTCCAGTCTGGAATGCGTGAGTGCATTTTGCAAGGCGAGGGGTTTCGGGAGGGGTCAGATGGCCCAAGGGGGAGCGGGCGCAATGCTTTTCTGGGGGCACCTTGCAAATCCTGGCCTCTCGAATCCCCCAGCCTCCTTGCTTCTCAGTGCCCCCACTTTCTTTGAACTTGACCCCCCTAGGAAAGGAAGGGGCCAGGCCTCCAGAGAAGTGGCAGGTGCTCTGGCATCCGGGGACATGGGGTCTCCCCTGCTTAACCGTGCCTCTTTCTCTTTCCTCCCTAGGAGCTGCTGGGGCTGAAGGTGAGGCTTGCAGGGTAATTGGGGGAAGGGAGGGGGTCTCAGATTTTTCCAATGGGTTTAACCAAGTGCCCGACCCCAAGGTGGCCAAGCCATTCTTCTATGAGCTCTGTGAGTGGGGATTATTGCCTTGTTTTGCGGCAAAGTACACAGCCAGGAAGCGGAATGGCTGATTTCAATGCACCCTGGACTCCCCAGGTGGGGCACTCAAGGGCATTTGGAAGGAAATAAACCAAAGGTCTCTTCTTAGGAGTGACTCTGAGTCAGACATTTTCAATCCTGGCTTCACCACCGATGGGCTGTGTGTCACCTTGTGAGTCCCCACAAAGCAGTGGATGGTGACTCTCCTGGGGCTATAGCAAGGAGATAAAGGAAGTGAAAGCCCCTTCGGGGCCTGGCACTAAATAGAGGCTATTGTCATGATGATGAGGGAGCCCAGGAGTGTGGCCAGCAGGTCCCTCTGCTCCTAAGGAGGTGACGCTGTGATGGGCAGCTGGGCTCCGCTCCAAACTGTGGCCTCGGGGAGGGCAGGGCTGGGGCTGTCCCTGAAGCCAGCCATGCCCATCGTGGGAACCCAGTTCGGTTCTTTTGTTTACACATCCGTGAGTCGGGCAGGCGCTAGGGACGTGGGAAGCTGCCCTCCAGGGATGCCCGGGTTGATGTGTTGAAACACGGTGGAGGAGTAGGGGATGGGGGATAGTGGGGGTCGGCCCCAGAGCAGCTGTGGGATTGGGCGGCGTCAGAAGAGAGGGGTCCTGGATGCTCAGGGGCCACGCCCAGCCAGCAGGGTCCAGGCAGGCTGTCCTCACAGGCAGAGATGCATGCCAAGTAGAGTAAGCACGGGCAAAGGGACCAGAGGCAGAGTGACCTGGACAAGCGAAGGTCTAGAGGTAGCCCAATGTGGCACGTGACTTCAGAAAGTTCGTGGAAAACGGCACTGAAAGAGGAATCTATTTTGGTGGAATACTGAGATCTATGCATCCTTGTTTCATAATGCATATCTCCCACAAGGGTGTTTGTTTGTTTTTGGAAATCCCTCCTGAGGGCAGGCAGTGTCTGGAGGGAGGCTGGGGTAGTGGGCAGTGCCATGGAAGCTCTGGAATGCAGCGTCAGGTCAGTGTGGAGCCCTGGGGGTGGGGGTGTTGGGCTCAGCAGGTATACCCAGCAAGGGGCAGAATGCACACTTGGTGTGGGCTGGGCTGGGGACACAGCGGTGGCTGGGAAGCTGCCTCCAAGCTCCAGCCCAGATCTCACGGGATGGATCAGCATGGACCTCTCCCCCCCTTCTCCTCGCCCTCGCAGCCCCCTGCGGTTTGGCCTTCCAAGCACGCATCACAGGCGGGAGCAACGCCAACTCTGGCCAGTGGCCCTGGCAGGTCAGCATCATCTACAGTGGCGTCCATGTGTGCGGCGGTTCTCTCGTGTCTGAGCAGTGGGTGCTGTCAGCTGCTCACTGCTTCCCCAGGTACCAACAGGGTGATGGGAAGGGAGTGGGAGTCAAAAGAGGGCTAAACTTTCATAGGTAAATACATTTTTAAAAAAAAATGAAAAATAGGGCATTAGCCATGACAGCTGGGTTGCCCACATCCCATAGATATCCTGGGTTCAAGTCCTGGCTTTGCTCCCTATCCCGGCTCCTTTCTAATGCAGCCCTCCGGAGGGCAGGTCATGATGGCCCAGGTACTTGGGTTGCTGCTACCCACGCTGGAGACCCAGATGGAGTTCCTGGCTTCTGGCTTTGGCCTGGCCTACCCCTGGCTATTGGGGAGTGAACCAGTGCCCGAGAGATCTCTTTGTCTCTGCTGTTCAAATAAATGACACCTTATAAAAAGTGGGCTGGAGGTCAACATTTATGGGTCAGTCCAGGTCAGAGACTGAAGTTCTTGGGTTTGACCCAAGGATGGTATCAGCCAAGGGAGTGAAGGGGTCAGAGGTCACAGAATAAAACTAGGGTCCCAGTTATCTGGGATCAGCATCCGGGGTTGGAGGCCCCCGGCAGCAGGTTCACTCTGTGTTCTGCCTGCAGCGAGCACCTTGCGCAAGACTACGAGGTCAAGCTAGGGGTCTACCAGCTGGACTCCTACAGCGCCGCCACCGAGGTCCGTGCTGTGGAAAAGGTCATCTCCCACCCCAGCTACCGCGAGGAGGGCTCCCAGGGTGACATCGCGCTGGTCCGCCTCAGCATACCCGTCAACTACTCCCGCAACATCCAGCCCGTCTGCCTCCCGGCAGCCAACGCCTCCTTCCCCAATGGCCTCCACTGCACCGTCACTGGCTGGGGCCACGTGGCCCCCTCAGGTGAGGCGGGGCGCTGGATGCCCACAGGCACGAGGGGGAGGGGCCAACTCGGGCTGGAGGCGCTGGGTGAGCACCTGCTGTGTCCGCAGTGAGCCTCCAGAGCCCCAGGCCACTGCAGCAGCTGGAGGTGCCACTGATCAGCCGCGAGACGTGCAACTGCCTGTACAACATCGACGCCAAGCCCGAGGAGCCCCACTTCATCGAAGAGGACATGCTGTGTGCGGGCTACGTGACGGGGGGCAAGGATGCCTGTCAGGTAAGTGCCAGGGGCCTGGGGGCGCCCCCGGGGAAGACAAGGGCTGGAAGGGGCTGGTCCTGACACATCCTCCAATTCTTCTCCTCAGGGTGACTCTGGGGGCCCGCTCTCCTGCCCTGTGGAGGGCCTCTGGTACCTGGCGGGCATCGTGAGCTGGGGCGATGCCTGCGGGGCCCCCAACAGGCCTGGGGTGTACACTCTGACCTCCAGCTATGCCTCCTGGATCCACTACCATGTGGCAGAACTCCAGCCTCGCGTGGTGCCCGAAACCCAGGAGTCCCAGCCTGACAGTGAGCTCTGTAACCACAACCTGGCCTTCGGCTCTGCCCCAGGACAAGGGGGACTGGGGCTCAGCCTCCTGCTGCCACTGGGCCTCACCCTGGGCCTCTTCTGCCTGTGGCACAAGCCCTGAGCTACTCACCCTGGAAGCTGCTCCTGCTTTGACACGTCATACCCAAGGACAGACGCCCGTTCCCAGGAAGGAACCTGGCCACTCCCGGTTGGCCTTTAGGATCGTGCGGTGTGAGGGCAGGCGCCATCTGATCTTTGAGCCCATGCTCTGGCTTTGCTGTTTGGGCCGGGAACCCACAAGCAAGCTTTAGTGCCTGGGGTCCTGGTTAGAACAGCCTGGCCACCTCCACCTGCTGTCTTCAAGTCCACAGGCTTGGCTTCTGTGGAGCCGCCCCCAAGAACACTCAGTTACGAAAAGAGCCCGGGCTCCTACCCATTTCTCCAAGACTGGGCAGCTGCCCCACCGCCTGCTGCTAAAAGGCCAGCCCCAGGGCCCCGCCGGCCCCGCCCCGGGCCCCTCACTCGCCTTTCCCTGTCTCCTGGGCTCGGCTGCCTTCAGGATGGCAAAGGCCCCAATCTTGCCCTATTGACCACCAGGCCCCCTTAACCCTGACTCCTGGACTCCGGAGGACTGAGCCCCCACCGGAACTGGGCCGGGGCTTGGGTCAGGGTGGGGACGAGAAGAATTAAAAAAACTGCGTGGAACACGGCTGGCTGGGTGTGACGTGGGACGGAGAATGGAGGCCCTTCCTCTCCCTGCCCCTCCCCTCAACGTCCAGAGGCACCAACAGAATTTGCTTTATTGAAAAAGTGATGGGAAGGGTCTGTACATATTTACAGGGCCTGGGGTGCGGGTCCGGCAGCTCACTTCTTGGAGAGTTTGACTTGCTTGTGCTTGGGAGGGGCCCACTTGAGGCAGACCGAGTCCACTGTGGGGAGAAGGGGGCTGTGAGAGGTGGGCTGGGCCTCTGGGCCAGGCCTGTGCACACCTGCCTGCTCCCCCCACACACACTCTGGGCCCAGGCCAGGTTTCACCTCCTCCAGGCCAGAACAAAAGGGCAAGGGCGGACTACGGAAGGGGGCAGGGAAGCCCAGGAATGGAGTCGCCTGCCCCAGGCTGTGTCCTGGGAGCTAGAGCTAGTCTGACTGGTTTGGGATCATGTGACAAAGCACAAAGCAGTCCTTACACCTACACCCCCACAGTGAGTGTGTGGATACACCCACACGCGTGCAAGCACACACACACACACAGAGCAGCCCCCACCCACCTGTGATGGGAGGTTTCTTATACTGGGCACTTTTGAGGTGCTCCTCCACAAGCTTGGGCGTGACACAGATCACGTGCTGACCCTTCCAGTACTTGACCATGTTGAGGGACTGCAGGGTGCTGATGATGTCAGTCTGGGTGATGCTGGTCATCTGGCTACAGAAAGGGATAAGAGCGGACGTTGGAGACAGGTCTCCGGGACAGGGAGGGGAGGGAAGGGAGGGTCCGGCTGGGCCAGCTGCTAAGGGGCCAGAGAGACAGGGTCACAGCCGATAGACAGCTCTTCCCTTGAGGACTCCGGAGGCCGAGGCTGTGGCTGAGGTCAGAGCCCCACCTGAGGTCCTTGATGGACAGCGTGCCCCGGAAGTCGCGCAGGATCTCCAGCAGGACCCATGACCAGTAGCTGCGGTAGCTGAGTTTGCCCAGGTCAGACAGAGGCTTCTCCGGGGAGCCTACCGTGCTTTCCAGCTTGGAGAGCTCGTAGCCTGGCAGGGGTGGAGAGAGCATGTGAGGATCCGGCCCGCCCTGGCATGGCCGCCCCTTCCCGGACAGCCCCCGGGAGCCACTCACTGAAAGCGATGAGGAACTTCCCGTAGCCGCGGCGCTGGTAGGGCGGCAGGGTCAGGATGCAGGCCACATTGTTGCCATCTGGAGACTCCTTCTCCTGCGGGGGGCTGGGGTGCTCAGGGCCTTGGCACGGGAGGGCTCAGCCCCTCCTCCAGGCGGTACCCGCCCCCGCCTCCCCAAGTCTGAGCCTCCCAAGCCAGCACCTTAGAGAAGTAGCCGACGATGTGGGCCCCTTGCCTGTCCACCTCGGTCAAGATGTAGAAGACGAAGGGCTCCACGTCGAAGTACAACGTCTTATGGTCCAGGAACAGCTTGGCCAGCAGACACAGGTTCTGACAGTAAATCTGAGGGGTGCGGGAGATAGCCACGGGCTCAGGGGGCGAGAACAGCTCCCCTGCCCAGCCTCTGTGAGTGCCAGGCCGGCGGCAGAGGGGCCCTCCCCAGAACAGCAGTGTTGAGAACTGGAAGGAGTCTCAGATGGGCAGAGAAACACAATCAGTGAGCGGAGCGGAGCTGGCCGGGCGGGGCTCGGACGGAGGGCTGTGCAGGCCTAAATCTGGTCAAATCTCCGTGGACATCGGCTCCTGTTTCAGATCAGGAAACTGAGGCCCAGAAGAAAGAGGCAAGTGGCGTGCCCAATGTCCCGTGGCTGATTCAACTCTGCCACCTGTCCTGTTCACTGCTGTTTCCCCGGCACTTACTACAGAGCTAAGCACGAGGCTGGGCCTCAAAGCCTGGGGTGCCCCCTTGGCCCCGCCCACTCCTTGCCGCAGACTCAAGAGACCCGCCCAGGCCAGCACCGGGAGGGATAACAGGACCTCGAGACTGGCTCACAGCCCAGGTTACACGGCTCTCTGGTTTGACACCTTCCACATCCACTCTGTGAGCCCAGCAATTCTGGTACCAGGGCACCAGGCTCACAGTGGGTGTTCCCCTTCAGTGCCAAAGGGCGCCAGTAGCAGCAAAGGCCACGTGTTTGCAGCGCCTACTGGATGCCTCGCACAGCATTAGGCATCTGACATTTGCTGTCTCATTTATTGCACTAACAACTTGATCAGTAAACATTGTGACTCCTATTTCACGCATGAGGAAACAGGAACAAACAAGGGTAAGAAACTCCTCCAGGGTCAGGGAGGAAGTAACAGAGCAATCTGAAGTCAGGTGTCACTCCCAAGCCTGTCCCCCTTCTCCTCCTCCTCCTCCTTTTTTTTTTTTTTTCTTTAAAGATTTATTTATTTGAAAGTCAGACTTGCAGACAGAGGCAGAGATACAGAGAAAGATCTTCCATCCACCAGCTCACTCCCCAAGTGGCTGCAATGGCCAGGACTGAGCCAGGCTGAAGCCAAGAGGCCGGGGGTTTCATCTCAGTCTCTTGGGTGGCAGTACCCAAGCACTTTGGGCCATCTTCCACTGCCTTTCCCAGGCGCATCAGCAGGGAGCTGGCTCGCAAGTGGCGCAGCCAGAACATGAACTGGCGCCCCATGTGGGATGCCAGTGTTGCAAGTGGTGGCTTTACACACTACGCCACAACACGGCCTTGCCCTCTCTTCCTCTTACCCATATATTGCCTTTCCAAGGGAACTGGGCCACTTGGCTGAGACCCTGTCGGACTGACCAGTGCAAAGGCCAAGTTCTCAACGGCAAGGCAGGCCCCAGGGCACCCCCCTCCCTCCGTGGCCCAGGGGAGTCCTTCTGCCAGGAACCAGGAGCTCAGCCATCCTCATCACAGAACTGTCAGGCAGGAAGTCTCACACAAAGCAGTTCCCTCCCAGGCAAAAGCAAACAACCTCTCTCTTGCACTCTGAAAAGAGAAAGCTCTTCCAGGAGCAGCCTCAGGCAAGAAGCTCTCCACTCCTAGCCCACAGCTACCCAGGCCTGGACAAGTCCCTGGGGCCAGAGGGAACCCTAGCCCGAGGCTGGCAGGGAGGGGGAGGAAGGGCCCTGTGTTTACTGTGTACCAACCACTGGCCAACAGCTAGGCTTCGTGAGACCTCGCAGGCCTTCTCCCTACCCAGGCTTGCCCAAGGGCTGGCTCTCCTGTAGAGACGTGAGGATCATCCAGGAGGTGCCCCAGGCGTGCCCCGTCGCCCCAGCCCCCTGGCCGCCAGCTCACCTTGTGGTCTTTGCCGTCCACTTCGTACACAGAGATGTTGCTCTTGCGATAGATCTCCTTCCCTGGGGGCTGCCGCCACTGACACTGGCCCTGGCAGTGAGAGGTGGGTGGGGTGGGGGACACAGGCTTGAGACTCAGAGGCTCCCTGCCTGACGACCCTCACCACCCCACCGTGCGGCCCCGAGCAAGTCTCCCCCTTTTCTCATCCATAGCCCCCAGGGTCAGTGTTTCACCCAGCCTGAGGAGTCCTCCCTAACAGCTGCAGAGGACGGAACCTCCTGGGCGCACAGAGCGCATACTCGGGCTAGGGGTCTCCAGAGGGCACTTATCCATGACCCTGGCTTTCCTGAACCAGGGAAATTCACTGCTCTGGGCAACCCTCCCCTCCCCCCTCACCATGCTGGTGGTGAGAGTGCAGTTCCCATGCACCGCCCTCCACACCTTCTGATCCCCGTCCACATCTTTCGTCCCACTGCTAGGGGTGGACGTTCACTTCCTCTTTCACACCCAGGAGCCTGGCGCTGCTAAACACAGCGGTCAAGGGCCAAAGGGCCGAGGGCCCAAGAGTTAACTGCACCCCTCTACAGACGTGGGAACTGAGGTCCGGAGGGAGGCAGTAAGTTGGCCAAGGTCAGCCCCACAGAAAGGCAAAGCCAGGCCTGGAATTCAGCTGCTCCTGGCGCCTGACTCCTGCAGACCCCTCTCTGCTCCCAGCCGCCCCCAGCCCCAGGGCCCGGCCTGGCCCAGCTCACCAGATGGAAGCGGTAGCTCTTCTCATACTTCATGTACTTGAGGCAGTACTCGCAGAGCCAGAGCTTGGGCTGTTTCCCATAGTCCTCCGGGAACGGTGAGAAGTACCAGGCGTCAATTTCGTAGTTGCCGATGTGGATCTTGTCCACATACTTCACCTTGGTGATCTGCAGGCAGAGGGGGACGGTGGGGAGTGGGGAAGGACAGCACAAGGCTTAGCACGGGTGAGGGAGGAAGTGGTGAGGGAATGCCCAGGCAGGCCCCTGACCCTGCGTACCGCCTCATGCTCCTTCTCCAAGGCTGCCGTTGTGGGGTCCATCTCTGCGTAAGTCTGCAGGGAAGAGAAGTGCGCAGGGCTGAACAGAAGGTGGTCAGGCTGCCCCTTAATCTCAGGGTCCACGGTGCCTCCCTCCTGGCTTCCAGAACATCCATACACCAGACCCGGAGCGAAGTCGTCTGACCTGGGTCTGTGGCTGGCTGGTCTGAGCGCCTCGCCTGTCTGCCCAGACACCCCTGATGCCCGTGCTGGGACATCCTGCCAGCTGACCAAGGCGCGGATCGGGAGCTAAGAGCTTCCGCTGCACAGTGAGGCAACCCAGCTCTGCCCAAACTGCCACATGATAGGATGGATCTCGTCTCCCAAGGCAAGGGCGACCACGGCTGACTGCCCCGTGGGCCTGGGCACCTCTGCTGGGCACCTGCCGCTGCCTGCCGGTGGGCCTATCCCCAGAGGCCCCTTCCACAGCAGCGTCATAACTCAAGATGCGCAGAAAGCCCCTTTGCTCTCTGCAAACCTTCCTCCTGGGCATTCGCCCTGGGCCCAGCTGCCCGAGTCCAGCCACTGAGCCTGCTCTCGACTCCTCCCTCTCAGCCTGGCATTCCATTAGCATGGCCAAGATCTCAACCAGCGGACGGCAACTCACCTCCCTGACATCTCTGAAGTCACGCTCTGGAATCCTCTAGTCTTTCCTACCATGTCCGGTCTGGACAACTGACCAGGCCTCCTTA